CAAGATGGTTGGATGGCATCACCAACTCCAGGGGCGTGAGTCTGAGCAAGCTCCAGGAGAGGGTGAAGGACAGGGAATGCTGGTGTGCTGCGTCCATGGGACTGCAAAGAGTCAGACACAATGGAGCGACTCAACAATAGTCAAGGATTCCTCACCACGAACATGTGCAGCCCCGTTTACCAGTGACGGCTGGTATTTAGGGCTCCTGCTCATCCTGCGTAGGGGTTTCCTTAGGTACCTGCTAGGGCTTCCCAGATGGCGCTAGTGGTAAAGAACACACCTGCCAACACAGGTAGACCTAAGAGACACGGGTTCGATCCCTGGATCAGGAAGATCCCCTGGAGGAGAGCATGGCAACCTATTCCGGTGTTCTTGCCTGGAGAATCCCCATGGACAGAGGAGCCTAGCGGGCTACTGTCCACGGGGTCCCAAAGAGTTGGACAGGACTGACGCACCTGAGCACATGCGCATGAACAAGTTCACGGTTCTCATTTCTCCCCACTCTGTGGCTGAGGACTGAGGCAGAAGAGATTAACCAATTCAGAGTCTAGTGCAAAAAGTTTACACCTTTAAAGATCTCACCAGCAGATCAAGCCTCCGCAGGGTTTGTGCAAAATACACCTTCACCCAGCTTCCTCCTAGGTAGTTAGTTTGTTCAGTCACTCAGTCGTGTCTGACTCTTTGTGACCCCATGGACTGCAGCACGCCAGGCCTCCCTGTCCATCATTGACTCCCGGAGTTTACTCAAACTCATGTCCACTGAGTCGGTGATGCCATCCAACCACCTCATCCTCTGTCATCCCCTTCTCCTCATGCCCTCAATCTTTCCAAGCATCAAGATCTTTCAAATGAGTCAGTTCTTCGCATCAGGAGGCCAAAGTATTATCCATGTTTTATTACAGCATTTCTCTAATCATCTTTGAGACAATTGAGAGTTAAAAACTCTTGACAACATGATTGTAGACTGAATTATAGCTCAACTTAGGAGCACCGAACAATAACTGTCTTTCCACTTCCTAGATTCTATTTGTTTTAACCCATTTAGGTGGACTGTGTAATTAGACAGTAAATGCAATTTCTTTGAAGATGCAATTCATTGGCAATTTTGATCCAGTTTAGAATATACACTAAATTAAGAATGAAATCAGAGCTGAAAGTTCCTCAAAATAAATAAATATTGGGGGGAAAGGTAGCCTTTTCATAGTCAAAGACTGTAACTAGTTTTTTTTATCTAAATACACATTAACAATTGCATCTGTTAAATCGAGGCCAGTAGGACTGACCACTCTTCTGGGTCTTTGTGAAGAACAGTCAATAAAAATGTATTATGAAGAATTCTTCGTATAGTTTTACCCTTTTGCACAACATCTCCAAATTTTTAAGCTGTTAATAACGTTCCAAAAATAAATCTTCCATCAGTTCGAGCTAACACCTTTGTCTGAAAAAAAAAAATAAATAAATGCATTGCCGACAAGCAGTTAAAAAAAATCAAAACTACAGCAAGCTCAGGAAGCATCTCTATGGGGAGTCTTTGCAAATGGTAACATAAGTCCCCATGCAAATCCACTTCTGTCAGCTATGTCACAGATGCCAAAAAAAAAAAAAAGCCGGCACAATAAATATGGAGTATATAGATATAAAACGGCAGTGATGTCACGAGGGAGGATTTATAAGCTTCTCCAGTCCTTGCTCAGAATGTGGACAGTACAAAAGCCTTTAAACAATTCTATCTTCTTACAGGGTCATGGGACATCACAAAGGCAAATATTTTTTGTTTGTGCTGGCAATGGGTAAAAAAAAAATTTTTTTCTTCAGAAAAAGCAACCACAGTGTGTGTTATCTGTAACGTGGTATTCAAAGGCTGAGTTTTCAAAAGAGAAAAGTGGATATCAGAGTTGCCATCTGGCAGACTCCCTGGTGAAGTCACCCCTGAATCCTGTGTGCTTGTCACATTACATCGCTGGGCATTCGGCCCCTGCCTCTGAGCGTGGACCCAGGGATGAGGCTACGGCCTTCGAGCCTTGTGGGGCATCTCCTTATCGGCTCTGGGACCTCAGCTCCCAATCATCAGCTTCCAGCATCCTTCCCCCCAACACTCGCTCCCCCTATGCCCCAGCCCCGGCGAGCGCTCTTTCCCTCGGCTGTGCTGAGCCTCCGTCCGGCAACCTGCTGTCCTTGGTGGGGTCTTGGTCCTCCCTGGCTTGCACGTCCCATCCAGTGGGCCTACCAACCACCCCAAGTCCCTCCCTGTTTTGGAGACGCATCTCGCAGCCTCATCTCCAGGGGAGGGAGTCAAAGAAACCCTGGGCCACACAGCCGCCCGGGGCCCTCATGAACATCTATTGAAACTGATTGATCTAATGTGGGCATCTGCCAAGCTGTCATTCAAGCCAGAGGGGATTTGGACGGAGATGAGGCGAGCATTGTGAAAATGACTCTGTGATCTGGTTCATGGGGCTGGCCTTGAGCTCCTAGGTACAGTGAGGGCAAAAAACCTTGTTTTCTGCAGAAATCACTTCGTGTCAACGGGAGCACGCAGTCTATAAGGCGTGAGCGGACGTTTTTCCTTGATTTGTGCCTAAAACATAAGAGTGAGGGGAGAATATCCCAGCTGTCTCCGGTATTGTGTGAACATATACATGCATTTAAATTACTTATATCATTACTTACAGATGTAATTGTGAAATATGTTCTTTTTGCATTCTAAATGAGGGACTGAACAGATGGTGAACGCTCAGTTTAAAGCAATATGTCCATTAAAATAACCCGTACTGTTGGTGTTTAGTGTAACAATAGTAGTGAGTTCATTACGGCTGGGTTCTGCCGCAATTGCTCGCGCGGGGAGGCAGTGCGCCCGGAAGAGGCTCAGCCTCACGGGCGATGCCCACCCTGGGACGGGCCCTGCTCCACCGCCCAGCCACCAGCCGTGGACTTTCAGAGCCGAGCTCCAGTCATTTTGCTTAGTCTTTTGCTCCCAAACAGGAAAGTCAATAAACAGCTGACATTTACCAATGCCTTGCTTCCGGGTTTTTTCTGCCTCCGCTCTCCAGATGTTCTGAAATGTGCGGCTCCAGATGCGTCACCTCCAACAGGATAACCCACTGCCTCCGCGAGGCCCCGTCTCTCCTCAGGAGCCCAGGTCAGCCGAGGAGCTTAACAGCACATTGGAGGGACAGTCTCTCTCCCTGGGGCTCAGCAAGGACCGATGGAGGGGCTGGGGGAGTTTCATAATTTACTTGTGGCTAAACAGACCGCAGGCTTCCCAGGTGGCACTAGTGGTGAACCCGGCTGCCAATGCAGGGGACGTTAAGAGACTCGGGTTCAATCCCTGGGTCAGGAAGATCCCCTGGAAGAGAGCGTGGCCACCCACTCCAGTATCCTTGCCTGGACAACCCCATGGACAGAGGAGCCTGGTGGGATACAGTCTGTGGGGTCGCAAAGAGTCGGAGACGACTGAAGTGACTTTGCACAGCACAAACAGACCCAAACCTGACAAAACGCTGCCTCTCACCTGCTCTCCTGCACCACTCCTTACATGTGAGAATTCTTTTCAAGAAAGGACAAGAAATATCCTCAAGCCCTCCCCCCACCCCCACCATGATTTCCATTTTGGCAACAAAGCTAGGGGCTCATATCCACCTGAAAGCCATTCATGAACGAGCCAGAAAAGTACCAAATCTTCTTTGAGAGCCCAGATGAGGAAAGAAAGTGGGAGAATTTCACAGTACTGCCTTGGATGAATCCACCAGATGAACTGAGTCAGTCTCTCCACCGAGTCAGTCCTTCCTGTTAAAAGAGGAAACGCTGGCTCTCAGCACCCCCTCCCCAGGAGGCAATGGCCACATGCTGTTCCTGTGTCAGGGGCTGAGCTGCAAACTTCCCACCAGCAGCACATGGAGAAAGTGCAAGTGGAACCTGCCCAGCAGTGGGGGGCAGCCCGTGGCCTGAGATGCGTCCTGCAGATTGCAGGGGTGAAGCAAGCTGGTGTCGGCAGGAACAGCAACTGGCCACAGGAAGACGGGCGTGAAGACAGGATGGCCAGGGAAGGGTGGGGCTCATGAGCCGGTTTTCTGGGCGTGCGGAAGGAGGTGGACAGGATGAAGAATACCGGGGGGAGGGGAGAGGAATGGGGGAGAAGCGGTCACACTCTGCAAGGAGGATTCCTGTTCTTGCGCCAGAGCCTCTGGAAGGTGAAGAGCATCTCGCCTTGGCAGGGGAGCGGGGTTCTGCACCTAGTCTCTCCAACGCAAGCATCACGTGCTTTTCACTGTCTCCCACTACTTCCTTGTGGTGTGGCTGCCGCAGGAAAGGACGGAGTGAGTGGGAAAGAAAGGACTGCCCTTCCTGTAGGATGGAGAACGGCAGACAGATCCCTCCTGAGGACTCTCCTGTAGGACGGAGGACCGCACACAGATCACTCCCGAGTGCCGCCCTTCCTGTAGGATGGAGGACCACAGATGGATCCCTCCCGAGGGCTGCCCTTCCTGTAGGATGGAGGACCACAGACGGATCCCTCCCGAGGGCCGCCCTTCCTGTAGGACGGAGGACCGCACACAGATCCCTTCCGAGGGCCGCCCTTCCTGTAGGATGGAGGACCGCACACAGATCCCTCCCGAGGAATCTCCTGTAGGACGGAGAATTACAGACAGATCCCTCCTGAAGGCCGCCCTTCCTATAGGACGGAGGACCGCACACAGATCCCTCCCGAGGGCCAGCCTTGCGTGTCAGTCGGGATAAAAGAGGCAGAGACAAAGGAGAGCCCAGTCGGTCTGAGGCGCATGTGACCCTCAGCTGCTGCTCTCTGCCAGCGTCGTCTTTGAAAGATGTTCACAGACAGACACCTACTGAGGCAGAACTTCCTGTGTCCTGCTTTCTGAAAAGCATCACAGGCAGTTCTGTCACAGCTGGGTTAGGGACAGGAAAGCCATGGTCTGAGTCCAGGCATGCCTTCCAGCCACCCCTCGAGTGGGAGCCCACCGGTGGCCCAGGTCTCCCTGCAGCATTCCCCCAGCCTTGCCCTGCTGCAGGCCCCGCCGCTGGGCCGCCTCCTCTGCCTCTCAACTGGGCACTGGTTGAGAGCCACCCCCCTGCTCTTGTCGAATCTCTCCTCCCGGAGCCCCCCAGGTGAGGCATCCTCCAGGGCCACACTTCAGGGGGCCGCCTCTTCTCACCTTCTCTGACCTTACACCACCCACCTCCATAACCACGGAGCTGCATCAGTCCCTCGCCCATTGGAACAGCAAACCCGTTTAGTGTTCCCTAAGCAGGTGTGTACGGAGCGCCGGCACCTTGCTGAGCCCCTGGCATGGATAATGCATCAGGAGGAGCTTCCTGAGCCTCCCAGATGAGGCTGACAACCAGGGTGTGAGGACCAGAAGCTGAGACCAGCGCACAGCCCAGCCTGGGCCCAGCGCGGGATCTGAGCTCCTCTGCAGAATTTCAGCCCCTGAGGGGGACGGCGAGGGGTCCTTCTCCTTCACCAGCCAGGGCCCCGCTAGTGCTGCCTAACACATAGTGGGGCTGGGGAGTGTTTGGTGAATAAATAATAAGTAAGATTGGCACAGATGGTCCAGTGTTAAGTACCAGAGGCAAAGGGGAAATAAAAGAAATAAGCTGGTAACACCTGCCAAGATAAATAAATGAAAGGAAGTCACCTGGGGCCATAAAAGGAGAGGAAACGGGGATTCTGGGATGTGAGGAGAAAATAGACTATAGACCAAAAAAGGAGAATTAAACAAAAGCAGCGCGGCTGCTGCCAGGCAGGGGCGTCGTCAGCAAACAGCAGGTGAGGCTCGAGGAGGCTCAAGACTGCACCAAGTGATTTTCTCTGAAGTCCTCGAAGAGACGAAACAAGGGCCAGGACACCTGGAAAGCACAAGGAGCCCAGCTAACGGCAGGTGTGCCAGGCTGAACTGTGCGCCCCGAGTCCACGTGGAGAAGCCCCAACCCTCGGGACCCCAGAACGTGCATCTGGAGAAACGACCTTGCAAGGGGCTACTCAGGCAGTGAGGTCACCTGCGTGGGCCCTGACCCGGTCTGAGTGCGTCCTTACAGGCAGAGGAGGTCAGGACCTGGACAAACAGGGACGGCCATGTGAGGACTCGGGAGAAGATGGCCGTCTGCAGCCCCAGGAGAGGGGCCTTGAAGGGACTACCAGCCAGCAGCTCGATCTCAGCCTCTGGCCTCCAGGAAGGTGAGGACCTACGTTTGGGCCATCCAAGCCGACCAGCATCCGCCGGAAACTGCAGCAGCAGGCGGGGCCGGAGAGGGAGGAGGTGGGGGCGGAAGAGGGAGGGGGCGGGGCCGGAAGAGGGAGGGGCGGGGCCGGAAGAGGGAGGGGCCGAGTCCACAGAAACAGAGGCTTTAGCATCAGAGGGAGGGGCGCACTGTCTGGGTGCCTGAGGGGCAGGCAGGCAAGTGGGGCGAGCCAGGCATACTCGCCCCAAGCAGGCGGCGGCCCTTCCCCAGGATGCCCAATGCCCTCCACACGGGCCGTCACAGCTGTGCGTGACTGCAGCGCTTACTGGCCCTTCTCCCGGGTCCAGGGACGTAAGGACCCCCCTCAGCTCCCTTCCTGGGGGACCCGGAAGAGAATCAATAGGCAGAAATGGGAGAATCAGAAGAGGGGTACCCGCCCAGCTGGGGCGGTGGGCCAGCACACAGCTGATCTCTGGCTGTGTTTTGAGAAAGGAGTGGGAATTCAAGAAGCGAGGGAGTGACGTTCCAGGTAGACGGGGCGAGAGCCAGGGTGCCCTGCTGAGTCTGGATGGGGATATCGGAGACCCACTTAGCCCCGTTGTCCTCAGGGCACATGGACTAGGAAGCGGTCTGGTGATCCCGGGAGTGGGTGGGCTCCTGAGCTGGCACCTCCCCCGTGGGCTCCTCTGCTGGCTACTCCCCTCACCTGTGACTGGTGCACACACCTCTTCACCAGGACTCACTTCTCCTCTCTGATAGTGTACCCCTACTCACCCCTCTAAGGCCCCGTCCAGCTCAGCCATTGTTGTCATTGTTATTGTTCAGTCGCTCAGTTGTGTTCTACTCTTTGTGACCCCATGGACTATAGCACACTAGGCCTCGCTGTCCATCACCATCTCCTGGAGCTTGCTCAAACTCGTGTCCATTGAGTGGGTGATACCATCCAACCCTCTCATCCCCTTCTCCTCCTGCCCTCAGTCTTTCCCAGAATCAGGGTGTTTTCCAATGAGTTGGCTCTTCCCATGAGGTGGCTAAAGCTCAGCCATTACCTCCTTCCTAAAACTACATCCCCAACCGCCCACAGACCGAGCTCTTCCATCCCATGCCTGTGAAGACAGCTCCTTTGGAGCAGTTGTCGGCATGGGGTATGCTGGCCTATGGCACACGCAGCCTACCTTCTCCACTGTGTCTGTGCCTCCATGACCCCTGGTTCAGGAGATGTTTGCAGCGGTGCTGAGCAACTGAGTAGGTGAACAAAGAACACTGTGGGTCCACAGGCAGCTAGGGATAAAGGGGGCTCCAGCAGACAGGGAAAGTGTTACAGTCTCTCCATAGGTGTCAGGCCTTTCTTCTGTCAGAGGAAAGCTTTGCAGCCTGAGCTTTCTTATTCCCACCTAGCTCTGGTCAAGGTTATGCCGCCAGTAAGCAGCAGAGGACTTGACCAGCCCTTGGGCTCTTAGTTCATAACATTTTCCTTTCCATCACTGGGGCTGCAGGTGGAAAGAAGCAACTGCACACAGAGATGGAGAGTCAGGACTCCAGTGAGAGATGCAGCCAATGGCATTGATGGGATTTATGCATCAGAAAGGAGAGTTGAGATGTGCAAGGTGGCAGAGAGCATCCTTTCTGTTTACATGATGCTAACAGTGGAAATTAATTTTTTTAGAAGCCAGAAAATTGGCAGAGGCATTTTGAAGATGAAGAAATTCCTGTTCAAATAGTAAGAAATAAAAAATAATGCAATAAGAATTGTGAAAAAAGGGAGATTCAGATGTCAGTGTCAGGGGATTTACTACAAAGGGAGTAAAGAAAAACCATCTAAGAAATTGGGGAAAATCAAGGCCTTAGAATGACAAAGCATGTGCAGAGCATTCTATGCAAAATTAATACATAACAGTTTGTGATGAAAATGCAATCACAATGATACATATGCTATGTAGATAACTTTATGGAAAACCCCCCAAATAATAAAGTAACAGACATGGAAAAAAAAGAGGTCATTGAAATGGAGGAATATAGCCTAAATTATGCCTCTTCTGATACACAAACCTCTTTCTAATGTGTGTGCTTTTTCCCTTATTGTAAACTCTGGAAGACAAGGAATGGGCTTCTTCATGTCAGCTTCCAGGCATCTCGAGAACAATATGAATTGAATTGAGGCAGAGACACAATAACTTTAACATTAAAATATCATCTAATAGTGTTGACTTAGAAGCAATGTAAGATTACAGATCAGGTGCATTTAGGTGGATGGAAGATATTGCAATGAGCCCACAGTGGTCAGGCTTAGCGAAGAGTTAAGAGGCACTGAAGCTGAATGGTTCGATGAGAACAGGGCAGCTCGCTGTAGAAGTAAGAAAACTCTTGAAGAATATCCTGATCTTGGTTTGTCACTTACTCATGGCCATATCTACATGTCTTAAACTCTATTGACAAATTAGGTGGCTTTATGTAAACACATATGTAATTCTCTATCCGTGTAATGAAGGTGAAAAGTGAAAGTCACTCAGTCGTGGCCAACTCTTTGTGAACCCATGGGATTCTCCAGGCCAGAATACTGGAGTGGGTAGCCTTTCCTTCTCCAGGGGATCTTCCCAACCCAGGAATGGAACCCAGGTCTCCTGTATTGCAGGCAGATTCTTTACCAGCTGAGCTATAAGGAAAGCCCATCAGTGTAATACATCTTGTCAAATAAGAAATCCAAAAAATTACAAAGAATACAACTTAAAAACCTGTAATGTCATTGAACTGTACATAATTACTTTTCCACCATTTAGATGTGTTTTCTTCTCGCCCTTCTTCCTAGGACCGACTGGATAGCATCACCGATTCAATAGACATGAACTCAGGCAAACTCCCAAGACGGTGACAGACTTCATTTTTTGGGGCTCTAAAATCACTGCAGGTGGTGACTGCAGCCATGAAATTAAAAGATGCTTGCTCCTTGGAAGAAAAGCTATGACTAACCTAGACTGCATATTAAGAAGCTGAGACATTACTTTGCCAACAAAGGTCCATCTAGTCAAAGCTACAGTTTTTCCAGTAGTCATGTATGGATGTGAGAGTTGGACCATAAAGAAGGCTGAGCACCAGAGAATTGATGCTTTTGAACTGTGGTATTGCAGAAGTCTCTTGAAAGTCCCTTGGTCTGCAAGGAGATCCAACCAGTCCATCCTAAAAAATGAATCCTGAATATTCATTGGAAGGACTGATGTTGAAGCTGGAGCTCCAATACTTTGGCCACCTGATGCAAAGAACTGACTCTTCCTTGGAAAAGACCCTCATGCTGGGAAAGATTGAAAGTGGGAGAAGAAGGGGGTGACAGAGGATGAGATGGTTGGATGGCATCACCGACTCGATGGACATGAGTTTGAGCAAGCTCTGGGAGATGGTGATGGACAGGGAAGCCTGGCGTGCTGCAGCCCATGGGGTCACAAAGGGTCAGACATGACTGAGCGACTGAACAACAACAAATGCTCTGTAAACACTCCCATCTCATGGATGTATCAGTTTAGTCAACAGATGGTTAGTAAGTGTTCATTATTAATAAGTGCTCTAGGTCCTTGACTCAGCCCGGGAGCTACAGCCAGGAGCAGGAGACACAGGAGGATGGAGAGAGAAGGAAATGCGGGATTAGAAACATGGGTACGTGCGTGTCACAGCAGTCGGCGTTTGGTGCATCTGCTGTTTCCGACATTGTAACCAACCCCCAGTGGCCTGTGCAGCATAGGTCACGGCCTGAGCCTGGACTGAGACCCAGATTTGGATGAGCGAGCCAGCCCACCAGGTAGATGAACCAGCTGACAAGGTGGACAAAGGCCCCGCAGCCATTTGCTGGAGGAGATCAGGGTGGAGAGCGAGGGAGGCAGGGATTTCCCCTGTTACACTTCTGGGAATGAGTCCCCGTGGCTGGGGTGGGCAGCCTGTATGCCTGGCCCCCTGAAATCCACCATGACCCTAAGAGAAGGACTGTGGTCAGAAGAGAAAGCTCTTTCCAGGAGGGCTTCCAGGAGACGCCAGACACAGCCCTGTCTCCAGAGACAGATGCACAGTGCCTCTCGGGGTCAGAGCTGGAAGCCCATGGAGATGTGAGCCTGGCGTGGACGCCGCGTCCGCAGGTGAGGCCCGAGAGAGGCGCCGGGCTCCGGACGTGCCTGGAGCACACAGACGCAGGCTTTGCGGTCGCCATGGTGACTGCGACTGTGGCTCTTAACTTGGTTTTGTGCAGGTTTTCTGGGGTCTTGAAGGAAGAGTTGCTGGGGGAGGTGCTTTGCACCGGGCTGGAGGTGGTGCGGCAGCAGACGGAGGGGAGGGTTTCTCCGGAGGGGTGGCCAGGAGACCCAAAGGAGGTGGTAGCTGAGAAGGGGGCCTGTCGGGCCCATCCCGGATCTGACCGGACTGGAAGGCTAGCCCCAGGATAGGAGCAGCAGCTGCCCTTCACAGCAGAGTGGGCAGTGTCCCTGCCCCACCCTCAGGGCACCAAGGACTTGCTGAGTCTTACTTTTAACAAGATGATGGATTTAAACAGAATGTTGTTTTAATTTTCATTTTTGTATACTAAAAAGATGGTTTTTTTGCATTTTGATAAATTTTCATTTTTCATCCTCTATAAAATATCTGTTTATGTCTCTTTTGAATTGCTATCTTTATAGTAAGAATGTTAAATAGTAAATTTATGTTCCTTGCAAGTTTTTTTTTTTCATTTTTCATTTGCATCTAGTTTGGGTTATGATTTCAATGTAAAAAAAATTTTAACCTGGTGGTCCAGTAGTTCAGACTCAGTACTTTCACTGCCTAGGCCCAGGTTTGATCCCTGGTCGGGGAACTAAAATTCCACAAGCCACTTGGTGCAACAACAACAACAAAATTTAACCTTTATAGAGTCAAATTTATCAGTCATTTTCTTTGATTGTAGCCTTTAATTGTGTGACAGAAAGTCCTTCCCTATCTTGCAAACAGTTAGAGTTAATATATATAGTTCTATATTTTATGGTTTCCCTTTTTACTTTAATCCTTAGTTCATCAGAAAAATTTTGAAGTGTGGTTTGTGGGGAGGAGAGGATGCAACTTTATTTCCTGAATTGCTAGTATTTCCAGCCCGATCAGAGAACTTCTCCTTTCTATTCTTTTAAAATTCATCCTTTATTATATTTTTGATCTTCTTTGAAGCTTCTCAAGTTTAGTTATTTTTTAATCTGTTTACCAAAAGCCATTTCTACTGTGGTGTTATGTTTGATTTATGGAGGACTTCCAATAATAAGAATATCTGTTCTTTTTTCTTACCACTGCACTTTGAATTAGTTTGCAAAGTTTCAGAAATAATCCTGCTGTATTTGGTCCATTCCATACTGTTTCATTTACTCTGCAAAGATGTATGAAAAGTAGATTTTTTAGCTTCCCCTTTATAGCTGGCTAAATTTAAATTCAGAAAAATAAAGAAATATTCCAAAATTGCTAATAAATATTAGTTGACCAATCTAGGAAACTGGAATTTCTACACAGTTCCATCCATTGGACTATCTCCCATTCTATAAATCTCAGAGATATTCCAGGATTTTGATGATTATATTTGGACAGAAATCCTTAAATGATCCCTCTGAATGTAGTTTTTAAAAACATATGCTTTATTATAGGAATTTCCAAATTCACCCAAGAAAGTAGAGAGAATAGTATAATAAACCCCCAAGAATTCATCACCCAGTCCAACCACTGTAATATTTTTCCATCAATAAATGCTTTGTGAAACTTGTCAAAATTTTGATGAAACTTATGAAAATATCCAAGCTCTTCAATGAATTTTTCCCAGCCTGATGTTGTGACATCACCTTGCTTTCAAAAGTAATGAATTTTCTGATTTCTAAGAAAGAAAATATTAAAATGACATTTTCTTGGGGCTCTCTGAGAATTTTCAAAAGGATAATTTTATTTTTTACTGGACTATACTAGTGATAAAGAATCTGCCTACCAATACAGGAGACTTAAGAGACTTGGGTTTGATCTCTGGGTTGGGAAGATTTCTGGAGAAGGGAATAGTAACTCACTCCAGTGTTCTTGCCTGGAGAATTCCATGGACAGAGGAGCCTGGTGGACTACAGTCCACTGGATTGCCAAACACTGGACATGAGTGAAGCAACTTAGCACCCACGCATAGTTGCTGTTTAATGTTGAGTTATTTCTGCTGTGCAGTGTAAGTATTTTGTTGTTCAGAATCTGTGAAAAATGCAGCCAGAAGAGACAGACAGGGATGAGAAGAATGGGGGAATTTGCCTTCTCTTGACCCTCTGAGCTTCTAGCTCCAGATATGGCTCACAGGTGTCTCAGACTCCAAACACAACCACTTCCCCCAGTAGCAAACTGAGCAGTTATTATGAATCAACATAGTTTCTGCTACCCACCATGTAATGTGGATTGATTGTTTATCAACTCTGGGAGAGCAAAGAATTTACAGTACTTTCAGGAGTAACTGCCAAAACCATTTGTTCTTATTTAGTTGCTAAGTGCTAGCCCAGCCACTGGACTCCTCTGTCCATGGGATTTCCCAGGCAAGGATACTGGAGTGGGTTGCCATTTCCTTCTCCAAGGGATATTTCTGAACCAGAGATCGAACCCGAGTCTCCTGTACTGGCAAGCAGATTCTTTACCACTGAGCCACCAAAAAATCCCACCAAAACCTAGTTAAGCAGGTAAAGTGTGAGTTCATTTGTCACCTAAAATTGAATTGGAGGTGTCTAGCTTAGAGACAGTGCTCTGTGTATTCCAAATATTATTTTCCAAAATACTCAGTAACTTCTATAGTTTTACAGTTTGGGATAATTAGCAATTTTCAAAAAAACTCCACACTGTTTCAGCTAGGTTAAAAGAAAATATAGCTGATTCTGGAATTATGGCAAGATCTGAATCTCCTCACCTTAAACTAAGCAGTTTTATATAAACAGCCCAACCTTGTCAAAGAAAACACGGGTTAAATCTTTAACAGAAAGGTCGTTTTCACAGGGGAAGTTAATGGCTAAGGATGACATTTATTTTATTAGTATTTTTTCAAGATTTCAAGCATGATACAGCTATAGCAATATGAATAGAAAAGCACATCGATGTAGATTTTCTTCTACATGAATGCTTTTGTTCTCAAAATTGTGAAGGAAATTCCTGTCGCTGGAGAATTTGATTTGGCATCTTCTCTTATAGGTGGTGCTATCATTCATTCTGTAAATTTTAGCCACTGCAATGCCAGTTCATCGTTCTGCAAATACAATTGTCACATAAACCTAAAGGATTTTTTTCCTTTGAAGGAGGAACTATTTTATTCCCAAGTAACCAAATACACTTAGAGTATCTAACAGAAATAAACGGTGCATTTTCTCTCAACCCTTAAAATGCTTTCAATTAAAAAACATTTCCAGAGAGAGAAGAAAATTGCCAATGCAGAGATGTATGCACTAATTATATTCATTCTGAAATGTCATAGATATTAGGCATTGTGGAAGATTGTAAGATAATATTCATCTCTCTTGTAAAACATATATGCCCATGAGGTAAATGGAAAGTATTAGGTGTTTTGGCCAGAATAAAGTGCATTCCGTTTTGAGGAGGCTTTTGTGCAGACCCTGAGAATGAGCTGTGTCCTCTCACTGTTTGCGACTTACTCGAGTGATAATTCTGGAGGTTAGCACCCTGGTCCCAAGGCTAGAGCAAGGACACCTCTCCACGCACCGACCCCTAGGTGGAGTGTCCCACTGCACTGAATCGGGTATTCAATTTACTCCCAAAAAAGGAATGTTCAGAAGTATCCACTTGCCTGCTGGGATATCTAAACCTGATCTCTGACGTGAATGGCTCTTGTGCTACCAAACAAATCAATTGCTTTTCTATGAAAACTCTAAAAAATCTGAGTTCATTCCCACATGCTGAATTTTGGCATGAATCATCACTTTTCTAAAGTGAACACTCAGGGAGAATGAGACTGTGGCCATGTTTCCAAGGAGGATCTGGGATTTGCCTTGTGGCTCAGCGCATCTTGGAATGAACACCCCTCAGGTCACTGTGGTCCTGGAGGAGAGGACAGGGATGGATTGGGGCAGCCCTCTGCTTTGTGACGGGAGGGACACTTGCAGTCCGTCTCCCCCACTTAGGGACCCCTGATTTCATCCTGAACGTGTTGGCACAGCCTTGTGGGAGCTTCCTCTTTTGCAGTCATGGCACCTGCTGCACCGTTGTTGCCCGGGGGCTGCCCAAACCAGACCTGAGCCCCCAGCACCAGCAGGGATCTCTGAGGAAGGAGGGCACCAAAGGCCGTGTGAGTGTGTGGCTTGCTCTCAACCAGGGCAGGAAGGTCTGCAGGGACCATGTCCGCTTACAGCTCCCTGCCACCCCTGCATTCTTCCAGCAGAAAAGAACCATCAGCACAGGAGACAAGGCATGGGATCGACTAAGGGCCTATTGACAGAGGACGGAGTAAAGAAGATGTGGCGCGTATACACAAACAACTTAGCAAATCAGCCCTGAGTTCTCTCAACAGCCAGCAAATGTCTATTCCTTTGATCTCTCAGAGGAAGAACCGCCTTTTCCCCTATTTAGGCTAAACTTTCACTGTGGTCCAGATTCTAAATCCTTTCTATCCATCTTAGATGTCACCCCATGATTTAGTTCTTACATTCTTAATTTTTTTTTCCTCTCTAAGTGGAAATTCCCAGGTGGCACTAGTGGTAAAGAATCCGATTACCAATGCAGGAGATATAAGAGTTCAGTTCAGTTCAGTCGCTCAGTCGTGTCCAACTCTTTGCGACCCCTTGGACTGCAGCATGCCAGGCCTCCCTGTCCATCACCAGCTCCCAGAGTTTACTGAAACTCATGTCCATGGAGTTGGTGACGCCATCCAGCCATCTCATCCTCTGTTGTCCCCTTCTCCTCCCACATTCAATCTTTCCCAGCATCAGGGTCTTTTCAAATGAGTCAGCCCTTCACATCAGGGAGCCAAAGTATTGGAACTTCAGCTTCAGCATCAGTCCTTCCAATGAACACCCAGGACTGATCTCCTTTAGGATGGCCTGGTTGGATCTCCTTGCAGTCCAAGGGACTCTCAAGAGTCTTCTCCAACACCACAGTTCAAAAGCATCAATTTTTCAGCACTCAGCTTTCTTTATAGTCCAACTCTCACATCCATACATGACCACTGGAAAAACCATAGCCTTGACAAGACAGACCTTTGTTGACAAAATAATATCTCTGCTTTTTAATATGCTGTCTAGGTTGGTCATAATTTTCCTTCCAAGCAGTTAGCGTCTTTTAATTTCATGTCTGCAGTCACCATCTGCAGTGATTTTGGAGCCCCCCAAAATAAAGTCAGCCACTGTTTCCACTGTTTCCCCATCTATTTTCCATGAAGTGATGGGACCAGATGCCATGATCTTATTTTTTCTGAATT